GAGGCAACACCACTGAGCTGTCAGCCACAGCTCTTGCATTTAAGCTTCTCTGCAACATTTTCACCTTTTGCATTGTAAAACTCAAAAAAAAAAGTGGCCTCCCAAGAGGCACAGCCAGTGCTTAGAAGAATTGTAGATAATCCATCTGAGGGCAATTTACAGATTAGCCTGTCACTGTCAAACAAATCAAAGAAAAGGAAAAATAGGAGAAAGCTGGCAAGCTTCTTGTTTATGCCTTATGTGCCTTACAGCAGACACTTCATAGCACTCCGACAAATGATTAGAGCTTTTCTTCCTGGATCCCTCATTACTTGTTTTTCAAATGGATTAGCTGAGGTTTCAGCATAACTAACTGCTTAAGACCACAAAGAGCAGTGACTGGAAGAGAATGCAGTGTCCTCAACTCTCAGTAAAAGTAGCTTATGAAAATTCATGTTGAACTAATAGTCTAATTTAAAGGGGATGGACATAATTCAGTAAGAAAATGGGGGGGAGAGAACATTATGTGGCTTTATTTTTTTCAATTACCAAAGCAGTTGATGAGTTCTGCATTCTGGAATGGGATTTATTTATTTTTTTTCATATCCACTCACTGTGTTTATAACCAACCACTGCTTCTCCAAGTACTTTGCAATGCTTTTTAGGCCAACAATAATGATGAGAGCTCTAGCACAGACAGGCAGGAATTTGTTGGCATTTTAGCTACCACCCTGACCACTTATAATAGCTGGGGAATTTGAGGGGAAAAAATCTCATGTAGACTAAGCTGTTAGAACAGTATTTATGATGCAACATATTCTTGCAGAGCAACTAGCAAGACTGCAGCTTTGATCGGGGGGTGGAAATAATGTCTGGAGGATTATGAGCTTGCCCCTGTTTTGTTCCAGTCACTGAACTGCCCTGTACCAGATAAACAGCAATTTCAGAATTGGAAACTAATGCAAATTAACTACCTTTTAAAACTGCTATGCACATTCTCTTGCCTATCGAGCTCTGCCTTTATTCATGACCACCTGTACACTTAGTAGAGACTCTCTAGGGTCAATAGCAAAGAACAGAAAAGACAAAGCAATGTGTCTTAGATCTGGCAACCCCATGGATATCACCTCCTCCTCACAATGACTGTGATAATTAGCTTTCGTTTCCTCACCGGCCATAGCAAAACCTCCCAAAATGACTTCATCCTTCGGGTCACAGATCCACTTCTCACAGCACTCTCCAGGGACTTCGACTTTCCTGGGGAAAGGGCAGTCGGGGCCGGGGAGCAGCAGGTCCAGGTTGCAGCGGGGCAGGCAGCCGATCTGCCCGTCGCGGCAGGTGCACTGGTACTTGCAGCTGGGCTGGAAGGTTTCCCCGTGGCGATAAATCATCCCATCGAAGACGCAGGTGTCTCCCTCCAGCACTGCTGAGAAAAGCCAATGAGTGTCCCGGAGGCAGAGGCCGCCGGGCGCCCTCCCCGTGCCTCCCACGGCGCGGGGCCGCGTTCCCGCCCCGTCCCGCAGCGGGACGTGCTTCACACCCTCCGCAGCTGCGGGAGCCTCCGCGCCCCGCGGGGCGGGCGGGGCGGCCCCCCCCCCCCGCG